TCAGAAGAAGAGATCAAATGGTATAGTAATAATACAGTCCAACAGATCAGCGCGCTGTCAGCTCCGATACCCTGCTCTCAACAACGCGCATCAGAGTGGGACGGTGGTGCATGCAGACGGCCTACTCGTGCAATCATCTTCTCGTCTTCGTCTTTTTATCTGCTAATATGGTCCGCTACCACTGACAGCAGTTAATCGTTAAGTTAGAATCCGGCATAAATGCGGTCGCTGACCTGATGCTTACTGCGCTACTCGTAGTATTGAATCGAGGGATGCCTTTAGCGTTTGGTACTTCACAGTTGGGATAGAAACGCGCGAAGGGTTACGCGAAATCAATCTGGCGTCCTGAAGTGGGAGTGCCAGCGTTAATATGCTTTAAATTAAACATTTTAGTGCACTAATCGCAGAGGACCAAGTGAAAGTGGCCACGCAGACAAGCCCTACTCCATCCGTCTGCGCCGATCATATTAACCCACCGGCATGTCCGTAGAAACATTACATACAACAGACGGTTTATAGCCTGCTAGTTATGTCTCATAGACCGTACAAAATACCTTTTGCCACTCTAATAAATAGAGCAAATCAGGCCGTTTCTGTCCTATAACGTGCATTTGTGTAGAAAGCATCGTTGTGATATTTTGTCGAGAGAATCTACATAGCTTAGTCCTTCAGTTTGGATTATATATCGTAGATATATGTTTGTATCGGCCGCATAGGTAATCTTTAGCTGATATGCTTCAAATATATTTGATTTCGACGAACTAGCAACTTAACCACGTTTAAAAGGCTCTAAAAAATGGGTCCATTGGACCTTATCACACTCATTTTGTTTTGAACAATCATAACATTCTGGCGCGAAATTTAAACACACCCTTAAGGTCATCCTCCATCGTACCGCTAACTCTGATTCGTAAACGACTAAATTTAGTTCGAAAATGATTAATCTACTTGTGATAATAAAACATCCAACTAGCAACATCATTCTGCTCGCTATCTGTGCTTTATCTCGACCGAGTTCAATTGTTAGCCATATCTAATTCATACTGATTTTAGCAAAAACGAAGAAAATTATCAAATACCTTATACCAAAAGCTTCATCTAACTAGGGGAATGCTAATATCATTGTAAGGTGATCATACTTACAATATGTTGATGTCGGTGACGTTCGTAAGCTGCTATTGCAGATATTTTTTTTTCTATCTTATGTAATTTGTTTTTTGGAGCGGCTAATTTTGACCGGGAGATCAGCTCATATCAAGCGGAGTCAATTGAATGATTTGTACCAGAGAAAAATATACTTGTACAGCGTGCAATGTAGGCCAGTCGTCTTAATACTGATAAGCGCGGATCTCCAGGTAGAAGTGTAGCTCTAATCCCGCTAAGTTTTGACCAAATCACTATCGTTGATCAATAAACAATCATGTCCTTCCGTCACGCACTCATATAGACTTACTACTATTGGTCCTCAAGCCCACACAGAGCAGTTTGCAAGACACACGATTTCCAAAAAAAGAGGTTACCACTCTAATTTGGCCGCGCGTTTTACACGTATACCGCACTACACGATGTTCGAAGTACGACGATGCTCCTAGAAACACAGCTGTACAATGTAACAGAATGGTGCGATGGTACGCATAGCACGACAGGATAGATATTCCCTGTTGTAGGCAAGCCTCACCCAAATATTACCATAACTCTGTCTCCCTCCTGACAGCTACCTTGTTTCGTAACAGGACAAAACGAAACAGAAAGGTAACTTTAGAATTCGCCTGCAGTGTCAGTAAAAGCTAGCGAAAAGCGAGCAGTGGCCTGTAGCAAAACTAGCAGACACTAGGAGTGATGGAATCGGCTTGACTGGATCAGCCACTAACCCCAAGCTCACTCAGTTTACTCGATTGGCTGCTTCACGCTGTTTTGCTCCAGTTGGACGCTGGTTGGGCGGCTAGCTAGCTGGCAACCGAAATGCCGACGCTCGTAGTGTAGGAGGAAAGGTGGCCTGGTGGCTCACGATGGCCCGTAGCTGCCGCTGCCGCAGTTGGTAATGAACGTGCCTCACACCGACCGGTGAGGGCTGCCGTCTTCCGTGCTAGGCCAATGCCGCGCATGCGCCAAATGAACGAGGTACAAATTCTATTCCTCACGCATCTCTCGGCTCCTGAGCCCTGGCTACGACATCGCCTTACCTTTTCGGCTTACAAGCTAAGCGACGGACGAAGGCCAAAAGGGAGTTGTAAGCTAGGATCGTAAGGAGCTATGAGGAGTTCTGAAAGGAAGCCATCTTCTGTAGCAATTGCAGTCAGGAGCAAAAGCAACAGCAGTAGTTGTAGCTACTACTCCAGCCGGAGTGACTCGGAGTCATCTGTGTGATGTCCATCACTGATAGCCTTGCTGCAATCGGAATTATCCCGCTAAAAGGTTAAACAATATAATCGTTTGTTATCGAATGAGTAAAACTAGTTGGTAAAACTGGTATAAGTAGTAGGTCTAGAGAGGCCCCGCGATGGTGAAGTGGCGATGCATTTGTCTACTTAACTAGAAAACATTTGGTGATCAAGGTTTGGAAACATACTTCGTTTCGGGTCGAGAGCCAGCCGTCCCAAGCAATGCTTAACGATGGTATTGGTTCCTGACGGTTCGAAGCGGGAATTCAAATCATTGATTAGAATCAGTAATAAATCAGTATATAAGAACAGATGACGACGCAATACGTCTTGTGTTTTGGTCGAGTGATACTGACTTCCCAGAAGGTGCCATCCCTATGTAATACGCCGTCTAAACGCACGTACGACTTAAAAGTGAAAGAAGTGACACCCTCAGGGGTGTCAGCGTCACGCAACCAAAAAACAAGACGCGTCGCGATGAGTATTTATTTTACAGGTTCTAACAAAACTCAAAATTCTTCAGGTCCCTTGCGTGGAAGTAGCTCAGTTAAATGTGTCCTGGTGATAAAAACAAACAAAAACATTTCTTACCTTATATTCAGTTAGAATTTCGCACTGAACCGATAGAAAGCGATACTAACCATAGCAAACGTGAACCTGCAGAAAGCAATGGAAGTGCGGCGCATTCACGCCGTTCACTAATGTATCAATCTAGGGCTGTCTAACTTGTGGAAGGCCCTGGTGGTTTCAGCGTGCCCGGAAAGTTCACCAACGGCGCGAATTATCGACAGGTACTGAGCGATTTGTCCCATGATGGCACTAACCAGTGCTCAAAGCAAAACAAACACGTATTGCGCTAAATAAACGCGCAGGCCAATCCTTTTCTTAACATGTGAGCATGCCTAAGATAGCCTTCAGTCAACCTCCTCTCGTTAGTATTGAGATCGTCTGGCATGTTGGCTCTGAGCTTTCATGCAATCTCGTCCTATCCTGGCGCGGTACGATAGTTCAGTAGCTGCAAATGCCAACCTATTCGGTCTTTTGCCTTTCACCACCGATTCGGGTAAGATGCCACACGCAACACTGAACCATGATGGGCAGGTGAACGGCTGGCCTTTCTTTGGCCTGAAAGGGTGCCATGACCTTTAGTGAGATCATTTAGCACACTCTCGCTTAAATGTCATTATCACAATTATGAGCAATTGGTTAATGCATTACTGGCACTTAATCCGCTAAGCATCTTATTATACCGAATGTTCAATGTAAATGATCACGATTTTGAACATAGACAAAACGAACGCTAAGAAGATCGCCTAAAATTCGCATGAAATTATGAAGCACAAACAGTCCATTCCATAAAAGAGGCTAAGGAAACAGCTGTCTCTTTTGTGTGTATCTATAACTATATCAAGCTGTAATACTGTTTACCGCGTAACAGTATTTGAAAACAGTTTCATAGAAACTTTCCTTTTTTTTCGGTGAGTTTAACCCAGATTTTTTGTCGTTTGTTTATCAAATTGTCCCGTATATAATATACACAATCGCAAATGTAAAGTATTGTTCCACTCATCTATAATAATACCAAAGCCCTTGTAACAGAAATTTGCTGCGGTCCTTTCTGCTGAACGATTTTCATTGAGATTGAATCTATGACGAATGCATCGTACTTAATTTGGACTCACCAGACGCGCGAAATATTGATAAAATTAAGGCTTAGAACAGACAGTCAATTGTGTGCTTTTGTAATATGACTATCCAGTTTCAATCTGTGAGGAAGATCCCCACGATGCACCCTATAAGGTCAGCTCAAAATAAACATGGTCGAATTTTGACACCGCCGCCAGACAGGCACCTGTTTCCATAAATCCTTTTCCCTTTCATTCTTTAGTCTTTAGTTCAGACATGGCCCTTGCAACGTTATGCAATAGCTTTGGGAAAGTATCCAAGGGTCAAAATTTACCCTTGAAAAAGAACAGGCGATTTCATCGATATATCGAACATCTCTGCTTGAGTAAAAGCTGCTACGAGGTGTTTTCACATAGGGTAAATCTGCACTTCAGAGTGGGGCAAAAGGCTGGACAAGGCCGGAGCACCTTCTAAAATTCCTTCAAGGTACCTATACCAACGCAAACACCCCGTAAACAGCTGTATATATATATATATATATATATATATATATTATGTAATTGTTACTGGCTTTGTGAGAAACACATGTTGAATACCAAGAATAGCTATTTCGACGACCAGATAACGAACACTTTCCCAAACTGCGTAGATTAAAACCTTGTGTTATTCCTATTAGCTACCTCTTTACCTGCAAATCCATTAGCAAGAGATGATTGCTATTTTCCGGTTACTACGACCGCTGTGCTATAGTGTGATTTACTAAGTTATCAAAAATCTACCCTTGAATAGAGTTCATTAGACATAGAATAATAACAATAATAACGACTACGACCACGAACCTAGCTAACTTCAATTGAAGTTAATTTATCTAAGCAATCGCATCACCACCATGTTGCGTAATCGGTGGTCGTGATTTGAGTCATGAGTTTAGCGCATGTACAGCAAAGTCTAAGTGCCAGATTTGTTACGGGTGTGTCACTGAATGCTACAAACTTGGTCCAGATAGCAGAATATCCTTTGCGGGTGAACGGATGACGAGTCTGTATGACGCGAAATATGTACCCCGGCAGAAGGGACAGCTGTCGAGACTGGTTGAACCAGGCCGCGTGACGCCGTTCGGAACAAGGCATTGGCCAGCCGATTACCATGCGCCTCGCTGTATTCCTCTTCGGTGGAAGACTGCTGCACCACGTCCTGCAATACGTAAATATAGCTTGAGATGGGTAGCAGAGCGTATGATATAAATACGCAAAGCCTACACGAGCCAACCGCATTACTGTTATAACAATTGAACGTCCATATGCGCAATATGGCTTTTGGCTTAAGGGTCCAATCTGCAGATTATCCCATTGGAGTAATTGAAAGCCGTTGGAACGAATATTAATAAATAAACATGTACTTACGATGTCATTCGAGTGTTAAGAAGTCGCACGCATCTAAATGAACTCTACCGTTTTTCATCTTTATAAATCATCTTCGCGAGAAAGACAGTACAATTTTTGAGCGACACAAATGAAGTCATGATCCGGCTTTGAATCCGCTCTTTTCAAAGAGAGGCCAGATCTAATCGTTCGGAAAATCTGCTTATTATCTGTCGCCCATTCCTGAACGAACGATACCTTTTCTCTGAAGGAAGAGCTACACAGGTTACGGTGTTCGTTTGTGGACCCATTGTTCATGCCTGGGGCCCTGTTGGTCTGGACTCGCTTTTCGTTAAGACTGTCTTTGAAGACAAGTGATAATTTAATTTGACTTTCATCAGTTGATACTGGCCTTTCAGGCATCTCTGTACTAAGATGACATCCGAAAGGAAACTATAGCAAATAGCTTTGTCTATGCGGTGTCCTAAACTGAACCAGTTTACTACCCTCAAAAATTGAATATTACATGGCAGTTTATGGACTATATTTTCTACAATTTTATTCCACAGTTTTGTCCATTGGACAGGACAGACACGTTTAGCCGGTGTCGTAAGTTTTGCCTCAGGGCTAATCCTTTTTTTTTCTTTGATAAGAAATTTCCTAATTCATTTTTAAAGAAATTGAAAAATTTGAACTTCCAGTTCCATCTATAGATATGAGAAATGGACATTTCGGCCGCCTATAAAGAACATTATTGTAACAAATGGGCCGCCGACGGGTTAAAGGCGTTTATATGTGCTTAAAATATCGAAAGTGAAGGTTGAATTCCAACAACAGGAGGAATGGCTTCACGCGATCAAATTATTGATGGAAGCTATTTGAGCTTATGTTAGTTAATGTTTTCGGAAGATATTTGACCGATAAGAATACGCTTCACGAGGTCGTATTAACAGATCTCCAGTTCTTGCCGTGTTCCATAGCTCAGTAGAATAACCATAACCTCAATGACAGGCGCCTGCTCGACCGCTCAAATACTTGAACGAATCGGTCTACGGCGGTATCCTTATTTGGCTTCTATGAAAATTTCATAATCAAGGGATACCCGTTGATTTCTCACCGATTATTATATCGATATATAATAGTTTGGCTGAAATAAACCTTTATTTCGATTCATTCGCAATACTGCCAACACGCAAAGCTGTGTTTGACATAACTGGAACAGACACTTCGTTCAAGCAAAGGACGAGTACTGAAAAATTTAGCTGAGTTGTTAGCTAGATTAGTCTATTATACGCAGGATTATTATACGATTTTTAATCCATAACCGCCCTTCTGTTTCTATCAGCTCCACTGGGTATGTTTCAACTGGAAAGAGAGGCAAAAGATCGTGATATTGTTATCATAGTGCTTACGTGTCGGACGAACTAGTCTGATTGATATATCGTCAATTGTGTGTATAGTAGTCGCAAACACAGACGAACACATAAAATTTTTACTATGTAACTGAGACGAGGGCCAGAAGGCGCAGGATTAGTGTTGGCTTCCGCACGATACGTTCGACATAAATCTGGTGAATCAAATGGAGCGGGGCAACGCCCTGTGCCGTAAGTGTGTTGTGATTCAAATACGCAGGAAAAAATAGCCATCGCGCCTACAACTTGCTAGTGATAACTACAGTTGAAACTGTCGCCGAAGCAATCCTATGCTAACGATAGGATCCTCTGCATACGATTTCCTTTGTGACAAACGCTCCACTAAGAAGGAAAAGTTGGCTTAATGCCCAGTTTTAATTGTGCCCGTTCTTTTCAGCGCGCACACTGGGTCGGTTCGGCCCGTACGAGAAAATTCGAAGCGTTGACTTTTGATTCGTTGCGGATGAGCGCTGTTACGGTAAGTAAAAGAACTTGTCTCGCTAAAGCCTCAGGGTAGAACCCCTTCCCACGATCGTGCGAATGACGATTTGTTTCTTTTCTTTGAACTAATTAATGAGAAACTCGAAATAGAGTTCTGTACATGATTAAATCAAGTAACTTACCCATTACTATATACATACCATCGTTACAGGTTTGCTGTGGCTAATTGTTGATACTTAATTGAAAGTATACGCTCTTTGGAAGCAGAAAGTGCATATAACGGTATAGGAAATTGCTCTTACTAATATCGGAAGAGGTGGCAGTCCATATATTTTAGCGGCCACTCAAGTTGTGTAGGTGGTTTCATACATTATTTATGCTTTCTCGATGTTTCGTCATTAGAAACGTTGCATTCGTTGCAATAACGATGAACCAATTAGAATTGCATGGCTAATTTTAATTATTTCCTATATATATATATATATATATATATATATATATATATAACTATTTTCGTTTCATGGAGCGTCAGCATTTCGCAGTGGTGGCCGTCACGAACGCATCGGTAGGTCGTACAAGCAATTCTCAATACTAATATATCTGACTTACAGAGGAAATGGAATCGACACGAATAGAGAGTGATCAAGGTTCGGCAGGGAGGACACAGAGGAGAGTCGAATGGAATTGGGGAAAGTGGTGCAGCTAATGCAACCACGGCCATAAGCGAAACGCCTATTAACTCCCTTACGAACACCTACCTCTGGGGAACTTTAGCTCATCGCATTGGGTACGACCTATCTAACCCACACTAACGTTACGTAACTGGCATTCGGCTACCGTGCAGCCGACAAATCTTACCCGTTCGAATCATGGTTATATTCGTCTGTTCGTATATTTTCAATAGGTTACATTAAGTGTCGAGTCAAAACAAACGACCTGACAGGACGAAGGATCATCGGCTCGGCAGGATTGTCAGTCAACAAGAATAGCCGTGCTTGAAGGATGATGCGTCTCTGATGCGGAGGAATGGTCTCGAATTCTTGAAATTACGTAGCGACTTAAAATCAGCTTTAGGAATCGATCAAATTATATGAGAAGACTCGTAGTGCGGAGCTTTTTAAACGTTGTGTACATAGAAGCCTCTTTTGAGGACGAGTGTATGTTGATGCAATTTTACTTAGATACCGCCAATAAGCTATTCACAGATAGAATTATCTCAATAGGAACTTTATATGCACGTTCGAATCTCTTGTGTTGAAGCTAAAACCCTTAGGAATATTTTACTTCTATACAGTATAGTATCATTCCTCCAATAATAGCAGCGGATAGTGCAGACTCATCATACATAGACTAGTTATGTTTGTTCCCGTTAAGTGCACTGTTTACCTGTCTCGATCAAGCAAGATGGCTAATCGTTGTACTCGTTGAAACGAAAAATTTGTACGAAATACGAGTAAATATGAAAAATGTAGATCGCAGTTAGATCAATTCCTATAGTAACTAAGACATCGTCCTTTACGTTGCCTACGTCCAATGCTGACAGCCTCGAAGTTCCTGAGGGGCGTAATTTGGCTAAATGCCAATTGTGATTTATGTCGATTCTGCCAATCACTCTTGGCTATGACTTCACAGCTTTTCCTTAAAAGGCTTCCGTAGAGTCCAACAAAAGCTAATAACAGTCGCCTCATTTATGTGTCCTGGTTCAAATGACTTTAATCAAGACACGTGGTAGGGCAGACATCACTCGCTTTTCTCATCATATGTGTTTTGTGTTTCGTTCCGCTGTTGGTCAACAAAAATAGGCTAGCTATCATCCTTTCGGCCAAAAAACAAAGTGGACCTTCATCAGACTAAACGTTCATCTCTAAACCCTTTTAAAGACTATTGTTTAATATATATAAGGTTTAAAAAAAAAAACGAATAGTTTTTAGGAGCGGAATTATCGGCTCTTCGAGCGCACACTACTACAGACGATATAATCTCACGTTCTTCCATGCTATTTAAGACAGTAGACAAATCCTGTTTGCTAACCAGACCTACTTTGCACAGAGGATGTCTCTTAATTTATTTGTTTTGATGTTACTTTAAAATTAATTTATTTGATAAAATGTAAACCTTTATGAGAATTCAATATTGTTTCACTAGAGACCCATCAAATATAATAAATCGTTTATTTTGAATGAGACAAAGCCTTACACCTCATCTTCCAATTACTGTAGTCAAGGGGCAAGATTTGTTACAATCTACAGACTATATAATTCGCGGAAAACGCTGCATGTTTATCCGAGATCAGAGATTAGGTGATCTACTATCAGGTTTTTTGCCTCGGTAGTAACAGACCATCATAGTCGATGCTTCTCTATGTAAGTATATTTCAATAGCTTATTCGGTTCGGTTTGGTACCTAGGTCCCGTGTTTAATACCTTCTTGCCAACCGCAGATTTGTGGTATCTGAACAGACAGATTTCGATGGTATATCTGGGCGAAGAGCTCAAGTTCACTCTGCTTACCCGTGTCACTACCAACTTATATGCTTTAGTAAAAGCTTTTATGATTTCATCGTGTTGTGTCGACAATCCAGGCTCGTCGGTAGTTAAAGTTGCATCTTTAGCAATATTGTTTTTGATTCAGATTGTAACGCTTCTTTTACCAAATACGTTTACATCTATTATAAATATGTTCTCGTCTCTGTTCTTTGTTTAACTTAAGGAGTGCTCTGCAATATCGGATCAGAGTAGCTATTGATTGCGTGCCCTATATATTTTGTTGCCACCAACCCCGTTTCCGCGGCGTTGATATGAGATTCGTCTAGTAAGCTCGACGTGAAGTTGTTCACAGCTGTCGTGATCAATTAAATGGTTGGCTGATCTAGATAGCGAAGGACTCAGTAGTCATAAATAGAAGGCGTCCTGTAACTTTACCTCAACTTCTAGCACCTCATATTTAAACATTGCATGTAACCTCAAACGAAATATGAAGCTATATTTCGATCACGATGTCACTTTGAGCGCTTCTGGAACAATTTTAAGACAAGAACCTATTAACTTTTAACGTGGCCGTATGGAATAGGCGCTTTCATTTCTCTGATGGTGCGTATATTTGCGTACGTCTGATAGTGCATATATGAAATTAGAACGGAAGCTAAAATTTGTTGTCGACATGATTTTTGGGAACTCTTAAGTTATCGCTAAAATTTAAGAACTTAATTTGAATAATAACGCAACACAACAAAGAGATACAGAACACAAGATTGTATGATATCTCGTATTCAACGCATGTCATCTCGGTCGATAAATTCTCCCAAATTCAACTTTAGCAACAGACTAAATTTCTTCCACTTTTCCTGTAGTTTTATGGCAGAACCTTTCCGTGCTGTGTAGGTTAACCAGAGCATGTAAAGCATACATTATTTTATTGTATATTATAAAGCGGTGTACTTGGTGTACAATTGAACCTGCACTGTTTAATGATAGACACCTAAGTTTGTCTTAACTAAATATCGTAGACTAAAAATTGGGTAAAGCAAACATTTCATTCTATCAGCTGACCCTAAGGCTTATTTTCAGGCTGTTCGAATTCTAGCCGAGTACGAAGTTCACTGTTGCACAGACATTTGTCAAGTTAGCGGCAAAAATTCCAACTATAAGCTAGCGATTGAGACATAGGACGTATATTCTTTAAGAAGGTCTAAACGTTTCCTGCTTTTCATACGGTACTAAAGTCGTATAGCTTCAGAGCGAGGTCTGACTGTCCTATTCTAAGTTAGATGTGCGGATGTATTAGACGGTCCCCAATAGCCTACTCCGTATACCCTTGATTGACTTCTTGACGCGCTCGAGCCAGCTAGCGATTCTCAGAAGAGATCGTAATTCAAGATAATCATGAAATTTTAACGCCCGCATTGATTACACTGCTGTGGGTCGTAGAGCTGCTCCATAGTTTGGACTAGGCGCAAACTGCCAACTGTTAGCGAACCACCAGGATGAGTCCATCGAATGTCATTCTCATTACCAGCAAATCCCTCTGATCCCCTCCTTTGTCCCCCCCTCCCCCTGTAATACACTTGGCTACCACCTCCGCTGTAGCCTTCATTGTCATCGCTTGTATAACCCTCGCCGTTGTCGTTGCCCAAGTATTACCACTGTCACTATACTTCTTTCACACAACTCAACCCTCTCCTTCGAAACCACAAATAGATTGGCAGCACAAAGAACCGTACGGCATTTTGGATACGTTTGCATGCCCGCGAAGGGGCCTGCCATGCATCTCTACGACTTAAGGTACGTTTTCAGTATTACGGGTGCTTCTTTGTACGCACAAAGGACATCAGGTATATATATATATATATATTTTATCAAGCGTTTTCCTAGTGTTTCCGGTCATGTTTACGAAATATAATAAACGTTTTGATTTTCAAAATACAGGAACTCATGTTTTGCTTGTTCTTAAAGAGAAAGCCACTGTTAGTAACTTCTACATATGGATATGCATGTATATCCCAGTAAAAAACAATAAGGTGTCCCTTTTATTAAAAATAGATAAAAAGGGAACTTCTATAATCTGAAAATGCGAAGCATCCTTTTTTTTGTACGGCCGTAACCGGAAAAACAAGATATACACCTTTATTATCATAAACAAGATTACACAAAATAAGGCCACGAGGCGCTCTGCAAGCAAGGCTTTTTACACCAAAAGAATTACACTATACTTTTCGTTGGAGTAAGATAGTCGGATCTAACGCAAGGTACTTCTATGTGACAAAATAATCGCTGCTCTATGGACTGTAAAGGACCTGGTAATATTTGTCACTCGCAAGAGGACATAATTGATATATAAATTAAGGGCGCCTATCTATTGGGTTAGATTCCCCGTACATTAAACCTTGTATCCTCTCATAAAATCAGCTTCTTGATTTTTTCAGAAATATTCTGTATTAATTTCCGTTGCCTAGCGTTAACTTTGTCAGCGCAGGCAACTGCCATGTTTGTGTTCTTGGTGAATCTATTCACTAATATATATTTTGGGGAAAAATATAGTGAAGACATTTTAGATAGTATAAAAGCGTGCATAAGCTAAGTCACGATCAACAGTTCTGTTTATAGTTGCCGATAGATAAAAATTAGCACACGGCTTTATAGACTTGTCCTATATATATACAATAGAATTATATACAACGGTATCAAAGATGGTAGCCTACTTCCAATTAATAATTTTTTTCCATTATTTTTCTATGCTTTTTTTACGTCAGTGATAATGGCGGAGTGCAACAGAGAAAGTGGAGAGACGCGCCTTTCATTTTGACGATGTAACGACGACGACGACGACGACGACAATGGTGAACGAGTCGCGGCATGGAAAAAATTGCCCTTGGCTATGCTGGGTGAGACGCGGTTGATCTCGAGCTATGGACCTGTCGTTGGGAAATAATTGGTTTGAGGGGATACAGCGGACAGGGAAACAGAAGGCAAAGTAAGTCGTAAAGCCGATCGGAAGTCAAGCGGCGAACTGCTGGTCGTGGCCATTGGTCTTTGATGGTTGCTTAGCATGTTATTCTTTCCATTCAAAGATAGATGCTATCCATGTAAAAGAAAACGGCCAATTCGGCCGATTGATTCCAACCAGTCTGCGTATTAGTGTTCGTTTACAGATAAGTAGTTAATTTTATTCGAAATATAACAACGAATTAATATATGAGGTAGGAGTCATCGCTTCCCACGGTCCCTTCCCATCTGTCGATATATTCCTTTTTGCTAGAAATGTTCAGGTTTATCGTTGAAACGCTCCCAGAAAAATACAGCTTTTGAGGCTCTCTACTTTATCGAATGTACATGTACTAATTTCAGTTGTCAATGATCTGTAAAAATAATCCGTACGTGCAAGGTCTAACAAACGTGTTAGGTGCAAAATGGACCACCCTGTCAGGGCGTGTTTCATAATCTTTGCTATGTGCAGCCTGTGAAGTAGGAAGACTTTGCATTAACTATCGCATCTTTTTTATCGAATAGCCTTACCGGATGCACTTGAGCCTTGTACGAATCTTTGTCCTGCTTCTGTCAACCATTTCGCAGTGCATTAAACTCTTCTAATTCAGGTCGGAATCATGATCTTTTTGGGATGCGCATCTGGGTTAACTCGGAACTTAGGTTTAGCTATTTGATGCTTTCTCTTTTCTATATGACGTAGAGACAATCAATAAACAGCGAAATTCCTTTGTACATTTCACACAGTCAACAGCGTATTCAGACTCCTGATTTACGATGAAGTTTCATACATTCAACAATAATTTGGTTTTCTCTACTTGTTTTCTTGGTCAGTTAACGAGGTTCTCATCGATTTCGCTCGGTTGATTGGCGTGGGGTATATTTTATAAATTTACGATTTCACTTTTGAACTTACAATTTTTACTTTTGAGCCCGCCCATACAACCCTCCTAGTTATATGATGAGGTTGCTTCGCCTAATTTAAATCTCGATACAAAATACTGTAGGTGCTGATATACACTTTTTTTTTCTCAGCTCAAACCTCCATTTTCAAAGCCCGAACTAAACATAAAAATTCCTTCACTGCCCGATAAAACGATGGAAGGCTTACAAAGGAGCACAACAACCTACGAATGATAAATCGAAGTTAATAAGCAGTAAATATGTACAAGGAACAAGTAATATTAAAACCATACGAAAATTACGTACGTTGTAGCTTAACACAATACCGCATTTTTTATCGCTTACCAACAATGTCGTATGAATCATGTCTAACCTCCGGGGAACATAAGACCCTATGTATTATGTCATTCTTTACAATATGAAACTGAGTAAAAGAACAATTCAGTCAAAAGGTATTACGCTAAAAGGTAACTAGATTGATATAACCTAATTATTTAGTGAGAAGTAAAACAGTTTTGTATTAAACAACAAACGCGGTGCTTTTGCTAAAGAATCGGGTCCTTAATTTTCTTAGGTAGGGCGATACTCGATAATAGTGAAATCAATTAAGAAAACTTAGGTTAGTAATTCTTATCTTGGAGAATCTAAACCCTATTATGCTTCTACTGTGTTATGCTTATTAGTAGAACTAAACCTAGCCTAGTTACGCTACTGGTTCAGGCCAAGTATCGATCCTACAGTTGATAAATGTCCTTTCCGCATACCCATTGTTGACCACGTTCTAAATGCACGCCATCGTCGGCTGCTCTACCTGAATCAGCAGACATTTGGTCTATCTTAAAATTGCTGGCTCGCATTGCAATGCGAACGGAAAATAGAGACCAGGAAAGGACGGCGCCGAAGTAAATTGCTCTACGACGACCGGCAATAGTTATGCAGTGGCAGAAATGGCAGTGGTTGTTCCGATCGGCGTGAGAAAAATAAGCGGTGTCTAGGAATGGTTAGGTGACTTGAATAGGCAATGCCTCTATATATTTTTTTTTCGCCCGTGTCCTAGTCAGGTTGTTCCTACGAACCGCTTCCGTATGCTGTCCGAACGGGCCGCGCTACCACAGCGCAATGGAGACTGAGGCCTCCGCGATCGCAGCTCCACACGGTGGCCACCATTGAGGCGGACGGATACACCTGAATGCTACGAATCTGCTTGCCGCCGTTCACTGAAGTTGTTCGGGAGGAAGCGGCGCCCTGGCGGAAGTAGTTTGAGATGGTCACGCCACAGTGTGAACAGCGATACTAAGCAAAAGCGGCGGAAGGAGGGTGCCTAGTAGGGGATACGATTCAGTTCACCAACGCTGTCCTGGCACGCTGACATGCATAGCAGCGGCATAACGCTTGGCGGAGGACAGTGGGTTCTGTACTAGGCTTTCCCACTTCTGGAAACACCGCATGCTTCTACCAAGCTTACTTCGCTAAAGAAATGATTGCACGCTATGATTCCTAAGAGCGAGGAAACAGAAGAAAGAAATCTATGACGTAAAGAACTTCCTTTTTATACAGTGGTCTTCCATTCTCTCAACTTTACCACTGCGTAAGCCCCATTCGGTTACGTTCTTAGGCGGGCCTTCCTTAACCTGTGCCCTTTCTAAGTAAAAGTGGATGGTTTATTTTTGAGCAGTTCTTGGTCAGTCTACTCTTCACGACGGATATAGAAAACAACACTTGGTCCATAGCTTCGTAAGGCCACTATTTATAGAAAGCGGCTGTAGCTGAACTTGCAAAGGCCTCTACGTTCGCCATACCTACAGTGTCTATCGAGCGAAGCGGCACACGGTGGGAATAATATAATTCATATCATTGTGCTATACACTGCCAATATAGAAGGCTTAACTAGATAAACGTTTCATTACAAGCTTTGTCTACAAGTTCTGCAAACACGTTTGCTGATCATTTTCTTGGTCAGCTTGAAACGGAGATGGCGGCAAACTGCAACTATGCACTTTCCAATTTCTAGGTCATCCTTTGTTTCTTGCTGCATGAATCGCGGGCTTCTACCTTTAGCAGACCTTAATCGATAGACAGATCTGGAAAATGTCTTTTCTGCCATTGCAAATGACGTTCTACTTACTACAGGAGCACTATGATTGCAGAAGAAATTCTTGGTCCCTATATAAATGATACGACAGGAATATGCTTTATACATGTAGGTGGTCATACAAACAAGGCAAGAAAGTTTTACTGAAGAAAATTTCCTTGGACGCTGGCTTTTCTGTTTAGCGAAACCGGCCACTTCAAGCGCTGCGACTTTGTCAGACTTCAAATCTAGTGCGGTGCCTGATTCGAAGCTACGGACTAATGGATCTAAAAAAACATAGTAATGAAAAACTTCAAATAATTCTCTGACGACTGGGTGCCTTAGGTGAAATTATATGTAGCTAAATGTTGGTGAACGCGCTGGGACACGATCCGTTAGCAAAGGAACCCGATATGTGAAACTTTCAGAACTAGCCTCCGCATCCAGCTCGTACTAGAACTTTATTCTAAAGCGTACCGTAACGTATGCCGTAGTAAATTCGAATACTTTCTTCTATTTATTTATAGAGTGCCAGCGGTAAAGGGGCAAATAAGCGGTAACGATTCTAGAGACGACCAGGCTCTTTGATTTGAGTAACCCTAAATAATATTTACCTAATTCATAAAAAATATTTGTTCTGCGTTATCATACGCATTAATATAGTAAGTATTGCTTTTCTTTGAGAAATCAGCAGGCTGTAGACCAACGAGCGTGTGAAGAGTCGAATGGTCAGAAAAGGGCTTTGATGCAAAGAGTTTGTGTCCAGTGGCCACGTTCTATTGTAAGCCCACGTAAGCCCAAAAGACGGTGACGTGGAGCTATCGGAAATAATCGTACGCATAGTTCGTAATCAACTCCGCAGGTTTCCGCCTACACTACTGATAAAAACGATTACTCGAAAGTCACTACAGCGTCTGAGTAGATGCGTTAAATCTATGTCAACGTTTTTATCTGTACTTCTTAAAATGTTGAATGGACAAGGCTATTGGTGGATTTCTAAGGCGAGCTTTTCTGAAAGTTTATTCGTGACAGAGTAATATAAGTACGCCTGCTCGTGCATTAGTGTGTAGGAAAGTATACGCTAAGAAAAACAGTGATTATCTTAAGTATTATTAAACATTGATACTTCAATTGGTACCTGCAGCAGATACACATAAAGCTATAAAGCAAACCACGTAGGCTGTAAAATAGTATATAAAAACAATTCATGAAAAATACCATCGATACATTCACGTTATTTAGCCACCTAATCCGGTAGGAAGAAACGTTGAACGAATGGTAATAGTAGCGACGGCTTAATAACAAAGGATTGGGCAATAGTTAATGTTGGGCTCTTGGCACAGGGTCGCAGGATGCCCATAACACGATGGTGTCATATCTAAATTAGAGAACTGATTAATGAGCGTAAGATGATCGAATCACTAATGATAAAATCGTTGAAAGGTAATCAAACAAGGTATTAAAATATAGAAATGAATGGATCATGAAGGAACCACAGCGGCTAACTGCGACGAGAAGACCGTAAACGAAGCAGTAAAAAGAATAATTACAATTGGGGCGGTACAACGACTGCAGTGAATTTGGATCCTAAATTAGAGTTTGGGCTGAGCATGTCTGACCTAGGTCTAGGCTAGATTATGGGAGATAGCTTGCAAATATGATGAGCCTAATTTTAATAGAACTGCTAACGATGTGAACATACTGTACAGCCAAACCTTATCTTGGAAGTTTTATCCAGACACTAAGAACAAAAGTATCGTTGTGCGGCATATACTGGACATGGGTATTGCTACAGGTCCCGAGATTCATTATTATTAAGGACGTAAAGTTTAAATAGAAAACAACAATTCGAATCACTTACTGTTATTCCTACTATTACTATGATTACTTACGTAATTGCCACTAACTATTTGAATAGAGGTCAACATCCGCGTTTCGGAGATTATCTAATATCGCCTGGCCAGTATTACATCTTAGGCGTACTGCAGGTATGAATAGGTCCATTTTTAGGTGCGACGATAAAATTGCACATTTAGACGATAAGAAAACTATTACAAGTCTCGCTATGCCTACGAACTTAAGCGTCGCACAATAAAGATTCGTGTGACGTTCGTTGTGCCCTTGGCGTAACGTCCTTCATGTAAGAAAAAAAAGGTAAGCCGATAGGGCCAAAAGGCTCAAAAAAGAGTATAGAAATGAGATTTTCTACATGTCTAGTCTTGGATGACGTCTATTTACTTGTATAAAAATTATCTGCTGGCGACAGCTCTGTGCTGATATCTAAATGTGCACGCACAAAATAGCAATTAAAAATTTGTAAGTGTTTAAAAAATTATAGGTAATATAAAATCCTAGATAGGTAACCTGGGTTTAAATCTCGTTAAAGCTAGGTTAAAGATCAGAATAAATTAAAACACTAATTTTACTTAGAGAGAAACATGCTTAATCAATAGAAAATTTAATGTTGACTCTATGCCGTCAATTGTACGTAATGTTAACGATATTTCTACTGACTTTGATATTTATCAGCCTCCAATTGCGATTGCTTTGTATTTATCGTTTAGAAAAGCCTAAGATTGTATCGATTTGGTTGAACACATCGTGAGAAAATTAAGGTCATGGTTTGTTATATTATATAAACCCAGAAATATTATGAACTTAAAGTCCGTGAAACCACGTATTTTTGATTCATGTACCTGCACCTAAACTACGAAATACTGTTACATGACGCAAGTACCTACTTTGTCTTATAGTCTAATTGTCTTTTTTTTTTTTAATATCTAGAAAGCATGCTCTATTCAAGTTAGGATATGTGATTATATCACAGATCACACCTTGATGGCGCACACACGTACACTGTTACTATTTGAGCAACGGGGAAATCGCTTGCTCTAGGGAAAAAAAACACTAACACAACCCCTATCAGGCCCTATCGATCCTAGTCGACAGGGAAAATAACTAGCTGTTATCCACAGAACCTGTTGCCGATATTACACCTATGGTCAGCACACAACGACACCCAGATAATTGTTATATTATGCTACCAAAAAAATAGGATCTAGTCCTAGCGAACATAATTCGTCCTGCCACGGAAAACGATGATACCTGTTTAAAAAATGTTTATCGCATCTTTTTAATGACTGTTTTTTTAATATACGGAGGCGTAATAATAATAACGGGAAATAATATAGAAAACGTCAACTTTTCATGAAATTCTTTTGCCAGTGGACCTGTAGTAGGAACTGTGTGTTTTTTTTTTCCATTATGCCTATTGTCCTGCATCATCCCTTTGGCAAAAGACGCTGCACATTTTTTCTGGTAGTGTAGCTAAGGTCATATGCGGAATAGCACACCTAATTTTGCGGCCTCACTGGTCGTATAATGGGAGCGATTGTGAAGCTAGCGAAGTTATTACAAATATTATAGACAAATTTGTTTTACAATATATTAGTTGAACGTTCTTGTAACGAAGCAAATCCTGTTAGTAGTAATTTCTACCTCAATCCCAAGCCCAGCGTCTCGCTTAGGCTGTGTCGCATGAGATTTCGGCTGCACTATCGACGGCTGGTGGAAAGGAATTTGCGTAAACGAAGGCCTATTTAGGACGCAGATAGCGTAAATTAATGACCAATTAATAAAGTTCTACGCTGTCACAGATCTAAAAAAATATACGAACGACGATAGATATAGACGATATCTAAAAAAATGCATGAACACCGCGGTGGTTTGATATTTTTCTAATTTACTTATAGATTTTTTCATTGATACTACATTTATTCTTGTCATATAATTTCATTAGGTGCAATATATTTCATGGTATCGGCTACACTTATTGCACTAAGAAAGTATTATGAGAATGTGACGTACTGTATTGGTTCGGTCTGAAGAAAATCCTAAGAAAAAAATTTCCTTGGCTATTGAGATAATTTGTTTTGGATTTCTATTATCTTCCTCTACCGTTTAAGCAACGCACAAATCCTTCGACAAAGGAGACATTTGCAGAGGCTATATATATATATATATTTTTTTACTTTTACTTTTACTTATATTTTATATATATCTAGGCGACATTGAGTTCCAATTTTTGGTGCTATTCTCAATAAAACGAAGTATGAGAAGATAGCGATGAAAAATCATGTGGTTTAAAAATCATATACTAACTCGAGTAGAAGCCAGCTGCTGACGAAGGTATGTATTCATTATGATAGACAGGCACCGACTGTCTACGAAGAAAGTTCATTTATGAACCGTTGTTCCTCACCTGAATGGCCAGCGACAGTGACAGAACGAACATGTTCCGTCACAGATATACAATAATGACCCACCCAAGCTAATATGCCTCAGCCAAAAACAAACAAATTGGTAATCTACGTTTCGATTTCATTCTGTGCCGTGTGCTTGCGGCTGATCGAACTGGCTCAAATGGTAGGGTTTATGAAGAACTAAGGAACCTAGTTTTTAGGAAGACTTTCAGTGCTACTATATGTCATACGGTGCGAAATTGGATGATGGCCAATTGCAAGTTTAGCCTACAAAAAAAACAAATAGCACGTCGCGTATGTTTTAAGTGTAACTTCAAACGTTACACATGGAGCAAATTCATGGTTAAAAGTTACAGGTAGGAACATATACTGCTGTCGGACTACACCGTCCTCTAAAAAAAAGTATGATCTTTAAGAAACCTGTAGAGAAATAGTGAAAAGTGAACGCCTTTAAACTGTTTGATTACATCATGCTCGTTCTATAGCTTGATAGATAATTTCATCACGAATAAAAAGACATTAGACGAGAGTGGTGTTGCCACAACACGCCAATTGATAGGAGGTAAGCAGTTTAAATCTGGGTCAATCTGCTCATTGCGTTCGCTCTCATGCTTTCCGATTTATTTCCGTTCCTTCCACCCGCTCTGTCTGTGCGAAAGCGGCGGACTTACCTTTCGGGGAGGTAGGCCGTCTTGTTCCATTCGATTGGAGACTTGCGGGCTGCTGTGCAGGTGCAGCTGTTGCAAGCCGCCGTGATGACGTGAGGGCCGGTGGCGCTGATGGTAGACAGCTAACTGAGGGCAGTTATCAGGGGTCGCGTTGGCACTTGGAGTCGTCGCCGACGTCGTCGTAGGCGTCGAGTTGTTTTCGCCTAAAGGGGAATAGTGGTGCAGATCATGATCATTTGCCTGCCTTGTAACGCCCATCTGCTGTCGATTGTTGCCTAATTGAAGTTGTTGTTGTTGTTGTTGTCGTTGAGGCAGCTGGTTATGATGATTGTTGTATTGTTGTTTGTGATGTTGCTGTGGCTGCGCGATGTGGTTTTGATTTTTCACTTTGTTTTGGCTGTGCCCGCTCCGGCTTCGGGACGGCGATGCGATCCGACGCAATATAAGACGACGAGACGCTAACGAATTTACAACGTCGTTCTCGTCACCGAGCTCCCACTCGTCTGCCGACCTATAATAATGATAATGAAGAAGCGGCAAGGCAACATTATAAACGTGAATTTGAGGGAACCGTACGGGAATTAAAAACAACATAAGTGTTGATAAAACTATTATATTTGACAACAACAAAATCAGGATCAGGCAAAATTTTCTTATATACGTTAAGCTTTCTTCATTTAGGCACTAATTGGTTTGCAAATAAGCAGCAGGCCTGCACTGAAAAGCAGCGTCCTTTTACACTGTAAATCTACTTCTAATAAGAAGAACTAAACTTACGGCAGGACAAATCCTTGGCCCAATTTAATTCCCAAGCGTTAGCCGCCTATTCCCTTTCTACGTAACGATTACAATTAGGTAGACGATAAGGCCTTTGCAGAGGTGTCGGTGCCAAGAAGTCTCTGAAAAGATTCGCCTGCGTGCGCAGGCACAAGCATCTAATTTACCTTTGTGCTTGGAGCGTCGATACGTTGTTTTTGTCCCTAAGACATCGCGACATGCCAATCACCCTCTCGTTCTCACTCTACATGTATCGAAAATTTAATAAAAGTTTGAAGTTCAACCTAATTTCCGCAGGTAATATCCGCAGGTCATGGCGACAATTAGAAATCATTAATCAGAATCTGGCAGCCGGATCACCTCACGTATAAAGTATTGCTGCTGTTAAAATGTTCGAATGAAAGGAAGTAAACATTAGCTAGCAAAATACTTTAGGAACAGACGAGGCCCATTCCTCCGTGTGTCAGCCGTCAAAGAAATCGGCAGATCTGCTGTAGTCCGCCCCATCTGCACTTGGCCTAACAGTCGAGCCTGCTGAGCTTATGTGTCAACTGATTCGTGTTTCCTGCATTTCCTTCTACGCAGTCGAATAACCATCCTTTGCCGTTCGTGGAGTATGTCTTATTTTTTTTTCAGACGCCAACTAAAAAGCGGGGCAGCCATATCCGGATGTCAACACTACCGAATGGGTGGCAATAGTTCGTACATACACGGAAAGGTAGGGGAATCCAGGGGGAAATCATCGCCCCTGTGCAATAAATTCAAAAAAAGTTATTAATGAATTGCATTACTGTTTGTTCCATTGTTCATAACAGTTTCTGGGTTGGAGCTTTTGCAAGGCATTTGAAAATTAAGTTCTGTTTGTTGTACGATACAATGTATCGCTCAGTCCAACGTTGAGCTTAAGCTTTTTCGTATTGTGACCTATTAGAGTTTTAGACGCTGCGGTAATAAAACTTGCCCAGAAATGCTTGAACATGAAGATAACGTAGATCATTAATTGCTCGATGGATTTGTATAGAAAAACGTTTCGAAGATAATTCGACTTATCGATTCTAACTAGATTAGTGAGGCCGTCGTAGGAAGCTTGATAGATATTTTAATATGTATATATATGGGTCCAATAGAACGTCTGATATACTACGTACGTATGCTGGCATATGCGCTTCAAGCAATATTCCATCAATGCGGTCAGTTTCCTTCTATACAAAGCAGTTTTCGTCATACACTCACTTTTAGATAATAGTGGTGCCATATGTTACCCAAAATTCAGCTACTGGAATTGATTCACATCTTATCTCATCAATATCAGATATCTGATATCGATAGAAGATCTCAATAAAAAAATATATATACATCTATATATTTTATTGAGAGCAAGATCATTCATACTTCCAAACGAATCCTTCTTATTCCTTCGTGAAGCAAGTAGGACCAAAGACAATCAGCTTTCTGGCGAAAAATGTTGTAAGCATTAAAAATAAGCCTCGCTCGTACACACTTACAAACGTTCCTTTTTCAAGGACTCGAAATGCCGTCATAAATACTTTTGCTGAAATTCGTATTGCTCTAGAAAATACAATTGTACGGGTTTATATAGTGGTTCAGTTTCATACAAGGGATTTACATTTTGAACGCGCTTCCCACCCAAAGCTACGTTCCTGTTTCAATGATGAGGTGAAATTAATAGCTAAAGAGCATCAATAGTTCAGTTCTGCCATCATAATTTGAAAGCTGGCTATGTCAGATCCTATAATAAGAAATTGTTGGGAAAAGAGTACAAAATAGGAATGTGAATTTGTCATTTGTTGTTGATGGGAAAAATGCAGGTCTGACAACGTTCGCTTTTCATTGCCCCATAGCCTATCGCAAATCTGTAATTTTTCAGGCCAACTTGTCAATTCGACAATAAAATAAAATGATAATATGGAAAATTGTACTGCGCTAGAAGCAGTTCAACCTCCCAATAATAAACTTTTACCACAAGAAAGGCACTTGTTGGCTAGGACAGTTGAGCCGTAAGTATGAGCAAAGTAGACTTTTGTTATTGGTTAAGTGGCTAAAAAATTGCAGGTGTGCAGAAAAAAAAAGCACCCAGTCATAGTAGAGCTAAACAAAGCACTACAGCACGATCGTTTGATGTTAACCATTTGTTATGGATGCTATATGCCTGCTTTTTGTACATTGCTTGCTCTCCGTAGAGGAAAAACGGCCACTGTACAATCTTCAGTCTTGATAATCTTGGGACGGGACACCGATTCAGATGAGTAACAGCTTTCGTCGATCTGATACAATAAGGAACCCCAAATTTTTGCGTGGATTAACTGTAGCTAGACAGTCGGAACTCCATCATGAACAGCGTTTGCAAAATGCACGTGCCCTACTACAAAGGTACATGCGCTATGAGGTGTGCGTACTTAGAGGTGCACCGCTTAATTCTAGACGCTCTTTTATTCACTGTATCTAGACGTAGAATACAAATACAAAAATAACAGCTTCATATTTTTTTAAGCTAGCCACTTTTTAAACGTGCATGTCTTAAAAAAAATTAGTACCAGGAATACGGATGTGCTTTAAAGGGTTTAAAAGAGAACCCCGCAAAGTACGCGGTTTTTATCTTGCGACAGTAAGTGTTTCTACCGATATACGCGTCTTCAATATGAACGAACTTTTATAACTTATAATTTTTATAAAGGCACACAACATTAGTCATGAAAATCTTGGACGTTTTATTAACAATGTCAACAGCCGAACCGAATGACCCAAAATCTACTCTCGCAGGAACTCAACCTGACGCTACCTACGTAACTGTTGGGGCGTCGGCATCCGGCCCGGCTGGCGAGGCAGAGAACCCGAAGGCCAGTTTCGGCCATTTGATCAAGTAAGTTTGCCACCAACTCGTACTACTGTTAAATGAAGATCCGGACCAACAGAAAGTGAAACGATTGTAGTAAGTGCAAAGGCTCACAGTAACAGCTTTATTTGGCCTATATAAACCCTTGAAGCCGTCAATTTCTAATTAGAAAAAAATGGTCCGTACGTTTCCAATATACGAACTACGCGTGCGATCTAGTGCTAGGCAGCCATATATGGCTCAGATTCGTTTAGTAGTCTTGAAGGGATATTATCAAGCAGCGAGAACGAAATTCTCGTAGAATCTGCAAAGCGTAATACTGTGGAAATTCAATTACTTATTCACAAATTAGTCGCTATCTCGGAAATAGAGAGAAATACAAACACGAATATTTTGAAGCTGCTTTGGAGCTTTAATGGCATAACTTTTTTATTGTATCACAAAGATCCAGCCATTTCTTTTATTGACACCCAGTCACTTTCAGTGTACTACATTTTTTTTCTGTTTCCCTAGGCACATGTTAAGCCTGCGACTGTCGCATAGCCAAAGTCCTCACTAAATAACTAAGTGCCGCCGCACACAAAAAAGGCCCGCACAGATATTGTCCTTCATCTAATATGCTTTTCTCAATGGCAGACGATCTTGCCAGGTTTTAGAGGACACCCCTTGAGAATTCGACGAGCGTTTCAACAGCTTCGACAATAAAGATTCGCCAAGTAAGCAAAGAAAGTTCTACGCTTCGACAATTTCGTTCCTCTATAACTTACGAGCACTCGGTTGTCGTAGCAAAGCTTGAAGTCGATGTTTAGGCGAGGTAAATGAACGGTGCATGTGCCGAACGATCGGAAGCAACTTCAATTCATTAAAAAGAATATTGTTGAGTTATATATAAGTTAAATTTTAAAAAAAGCATAATATAATTAACGTACATGATACACATCCACTTTGACAGGATGGATAGGGAATGATTGTTGCCTGGAAACTCGACTCAACTAACGAAAATGGCTTTACGCATGTATCGAGCCTATACCGCTGACAGTTATACACAAGATTTTATTACAATTTACCCTCATTAGAAGTAAATAGGACTGACGATGGCAACAATATCATGTTGTCCCTGTAAAGAACTTCGCACAAGATAGGTTCTAGAATCGTTGTATCCTTAGCTACCTAGGTCTAATTGATATTTTGTTTTCTTCTTCGCATACTTTCCTACGCATAAAACGGTCCAGTTAGTTACTTAAAGAATATGAATGGAATTAAGCAGACCATGAGCCGCATTATCGTTCCATGTAAGTATATTGTAACGTTTCGTTAAGCTCTGTAATCAGAGCAAATACGCACGCACATACAAAGTCTGTAAAGGAAGGCACGCTCGTTCATTTCAATTCATTCAAATCTTCTTCAATCAATCAAACAAACTGGTGCCATCCGATTTAGCTCATAATCTTCTTCGATGACGAAGGTGATATCGTACTTCAACGTTTCGGGTTGTAACCCGAAACGTTGAAGTACGTTAGCTTATCTAGGATTAGCTAAGTGTATGTATATATAGTGTTTATGTAATAACTTCGTTCATTTGCTACGTATTGAACTTAATTGGTTTAGAAACTTACAGAATGAATAGTATTTGGACACCCAGTGCATACAGTAGAGCTCGACGACGATCTTGCCTAATAAGTATGTTGTAGTATTGAAAAACGGTTCGGCATAAATTAAATATAGTAGCTTAGTTATTGTTTTAGGTCATTATGAAATGTTTACGCGGAGTTTGCTTGACTGAAAATGGCCTAAATTATGGTGCAGACGAATGATTTAATGCACTGTAAGAAAACGTTCCTCCTGTCTCATGAGCAGCTTCGATGTATTAGATAGTTATA